GTCCACAGAAGCAATAACTGCCTACCCCTCAATGTAAAAGAAAAAAAACAGTACTTTTAAAACTGAAGCAGCCCTGGCTGGTGTGTCTCAGTAGTTGAGTGCCAACCTGCAAATCAAAGGGTCACCGGCTCAATTCCCAGGCTAAAGCGAGTGCCTGGGTCGTGGGCCAGGTCCCCAGTAGCGGGGCATGAAAAAGGCAACCACGCATTGTTTCTCTCCCTTTCTTTCTCCTTCCCTCCCCTTCTCTAAAAAAAGAAATACATAAAATCTTTAAAAAAAAAGAGGCTGAAGGTTGCCGGAGACTGATATGTCCTCTCCCTCTTCTCCAGCCTCATTGCAGTTGTCAAGGTAACGAGACGATAAAACAGCTCACTTTTGAGCACTGTGTGTATCTGCCAACAGGGTAAAGAACTGCTTCTGAAAGGTATCATAAATTGATTAATCTAAAGAATGCTAATTAATTACTTTTGGTTATCACTAAAAATTGAAAATCCTAATCAAGTTGGCAGAAAAAAATGGTTTTGGTAATAAAAAATAAATTATAAAACTGAAACTGGGTTAGTGATTTCTATATGAGTTAAAAGGGACTAGGAATGTTGCAGGAGGATTGCATGCATTGAAGAGGGTCCGTGCAAGTCGAAAGACGATTGTGTAGAGCAAAGAAGCAAAAGAGAAGGAATTGAGGAGGTAAAAAAAGGTGAGAAAGGACAAAGGAAGAGACATACAGAAAGAAAGGACATTGGAGTAGAAAACTCAAGAAGGGAAGTGGAAACAAGGAAAACTAGGAATAACTAAGAAGAGGAAAGGCACATAGATAAATGGCAAAGATAATTTTAACAACAGATGAAAAAGCCAAGAGCTCCCTTTGATTTTCCAAAGCCAATTGTTATTACCCAACAGAAACCCCAGGTACAATTAGACAGTGGAAAACAAATTAATTGATTCAAATGTTATTACAGAAAACAAAATCCTTAATTAATTGTAACCACTGATTTATGACCTAACTTGGAATGATGTACAAATAGTTCTCTCCCACGGCTACACAATAAATAAAAAGCAACATATAACAGGAGTTGCTAGGGTTTATACTGATGAGCTAGTCATCATGCTCAATGTCTCATATACCAACCAGGGGGTCTAGCGGTCAGTCAGGGCTAATAATGTAAACACCTACCACCAACAAAAGGAAGGAGCACAAGCAGAGGGCATGGAAGTTCCCTTTGAAATCTCCCCCATGGAAAGAGTAAGGGAAAGGGAAAGGAGGTTTCCCTTGAGAACAGAGACAGAGACGCACCAGGGTCCTCTGAAACAAGGTTTCTTCAGCCTGAAATGTTCAGGTTACACAGTAAAGTGAACTATTCTGAAAACCCTCCAGCCAGCCAGGGTTGGGTTACACTGTCAGGCTAACTATTCTGGAAACCCAGTGTCTGAGAGGGGATGCCTTTACAATTTCATAAAACTGTTCCCCTCTGGGGCTGCCAGCACACTTTTCCAAGATCTACCAATTAGTAAGCTCCTTCTCATTGGTCGAAGGAAGATAGGGACAAACACTCTCACCCCCTGGAAGGATTCGTCATAATGGAGATGTCTGTTCTGATACCCAGGGCCCCGAGCCCTCAGGTTATGACCCCAGGACACTGGGCTCTCTACCCTTCTTTTCTCCTTCCAGATGGGGGCTGGATTCCTTGTCTCTTCATCTCTCCATAATTAGAATAGCTTAGCTACCATAAACTGGCTCCAGAGCTAACAAACTAAACCTTAAATGAAGCCATGAGGAGACCACCCTAATCTCTGTCCCCCTCTCCTGACAGAATAGCTCCACAGCCTCCATGCTCTGACACTCCAGAGTTTTCTCTGGCAGTCCCAGCTTCAGTGAAAGCTGTTAACACGCTCCACTGCACAGTAAAGAACAAAGCAAATTCAACCATCGTTCAGTGAGAATCTTTTAAGTGTCAGACACTGCACTACAACCTGGAAACAAAAAGAGAAATACAACCTAGCGAGTCACTAAAAAAGAAGCTCCTTATAACTTTTCCAAACTCCCTACCTGCCCACATTTAAAATGGATTCTGAATCCTTCGGACTATAATTGCCTACATCCAAAATACAAACAGAGGCTAAGATTATGCTTGTTTGTAGGGCTTTGACTATTTAACGAGGCTTCCATAGAAATCTGCCTGCCAGCCATTTGCCTTTCCCTGACCATTGTTCCCGAGCACTAAAACACGGTCATCTTTTTTTAACCTGTGCTTTTGACCTTACATAGTTTGTCTTTGCTTAGGTTTCTTTTTTTAGCAGCTCCCTTTCTGGTTCTTAAGAACATCAGATTCCTAGCCAGCACAGCAAAGGCATCTCACATATCTGTACCATTCTCAGGAATCAGGACATTCAGTCTCAGCAGCAGCTCCTTGACCATCTCCCGTCCTGGGAAGCCTCCCGCTCAGCCCCCTGGTTGAGAGGCACCCCTCTCCGGGATGCCTGTGCACTCGCCCGAGCAGGGCTCCAGAAAGTATAATTGTCGCTACATTCAGTTACTGCCCTGAGTAGAAATGAAATCAGAAAAGTTGGGAATTCATGCTGCCTGTCACTACCAGAACCAGTAGACACAAGGATTGAATCTTTATGGGCACTTTATTCAGATGCTGGCAATCTGAGAGGACATCAGGTAATGTACCCTCAAAAACCGCTTTAACATCTCATCTCAAGCTAGAAGAAAAGGGTCAGTAAGGGGCTTGGAACAAAGGTTAATCAAATAAGAACTGCAGTGGTGATTTTCCTCATATTGCTTTACCTGATGATCAACAATTCTTTATCTGCATCAAGGGCATTCCCTCCCTGGTACACAACGGCTCAGACACCATCCCTGTCAGACCACTTGCTGACCCCCTGGACACAAAAGTTGAATTGCTTGTTAGCCTCCTGCAGTTACTAGGTCACATATTTCAGTTCTTGGAATAACAGCTGTCTACATGCATTAATCACTTAAGCCTATCAACTGTAACTACTGCTAAAATCTTTAACTCTTCAGTTCCCCTATCAGAATTCTAGGGTGATGACCAAGGAGAGAAAGTCTGGTCCCACCCACTCATTAATGTGTGCATTGTGAAAACCAAAACTTCTCTAGGCCTCTCCACCAGATAACTAGACACTATTTTACTCTAGTTATCATCAGCATGTTAGGAAGGTATTCCTAACATTCTAATATATAGTTTGAATAGCACTTGACAAGTTTTCAGAGTTCTCATGCATACATTTCCTTATCTGATTTTCACAATCCTATGAGATAGGGCTGAGAGAGAGGAGGTGAAATGTCACTGTTAAAGATGTTTTAGACCCCAGCTCTACTACCATACAAGATGTATAATCTTAGCAAGTTTTCCAACCTCTACGCACCTTGACTTTCTCACCTGGAACATGGATAATAATAGTACCCGTGACTCAGGGCCTTATTCGCAGTAGAATTGTGCGGAATAACAGACATAGTGCCTGTGAAGTCCTTGCATGGTACCTGGTCCATGGTCAGCACTCAGAGCCTCTTTGTTACATTTAATAGATGCCATCATTCCCATCTCACAAGTGATGATCCTGTGGTGGCTCTGCTTCTTAAAGTCACAGAGCTCACAGGCAGATGTGGGCCTGGAAGCCAAGTTTTCATTCTTTCTGCCTCTGGGTTCCCAGTGATGGTTTTAAAGCCCAGCTGAGAGCTGTGGTGCCCATTCTTCCCCACAAATACCCTGAGGTCAGGATGAATGGAATCAAGGAGAGTCAGTCAGCCGTGCACAGGCAAGATGATCCCTAGGCAATCAGCCTCTCTCCGAGCAGCTGACTGCAGATAAAGAGCCCTGTAGGGAATCATGAGAGCCTGAGGGAAACGTCCTAAACTCTCAGCAGGGCTGGAGCCTCTATGACAGTCAGGCTGTAACCGAACAAACAAATCTGGGAAGACTCTGGATGTTTATGCTCATAATTCCCTAGTTCCCTAATAAGAGATAGTTATTCTGAATGACAAGATGCTTACTAAGACTTGTAATATAAGTTGTAAGTCTACATTAATATAAGCTACTTTGCCCAACATCAAGAATTTTTCAGTGAGAATTTCAGGAATAAAGGAAATCTTTCCAGCCAAAGTAGATAAAAATAGAAAGAATACACACACACACACACACACACACACACACACTCTGTTATGGTTTATACAAAGCATTCTGCTCATATAAACCGGGCCAGAACAGAGTCTTCTTAAAGCCTCCATTATACCAGAAGATACTGAAAGCAAAGAGATTTACATAAAGTAAGTGAGACATGCCAGACTTCCTCCCCTTGGACCAAAACAAACACAAGAAAAAAAAATTTGCTAGGATGACTGAAAAGCAGAGAAAGGCCCTGGCAATGGATTTCCTCTTCAAAAAGGATGTTTGTTTAATCTGTTCATCCCAATCAAACCTAATTATTCCAATCATTTTGAAATGTCCTGAAGAATTCTCTGACATTAGGACATTCAAAGGTATCTGCGTATTTGCAAACAAAGTCCCACAACTTCAGAACACTCCCAGGAATCAAACCTCTGCCCTGACTAGAGTCAGCTTCCTCTGTTTCCCCCACTAGCATAAGTATGGCTCTGCTCTGTGATAGAAAATTTCTTCTCTGATGAGACCAAACTAGTTTGACACCTCATATTTGGAGCTGACACCAGGCCTAGAATCTGTTTCTCTTTTTCAGAATGAGTTTTAGAACCTTCATTTTCAGGTCCCTGATTTCCCACAAGGTATTATAACAATCAGCCAAAGGGTTCAGAAGAAAATTGCTGAGAAAATAATAACAAAATTTTTAAAATTTCTAACTTGGTCTTCCATCATAGACATTCAACATTACCCCACGAATGTATGTCAGGGTCGTGTACAAAGGAACCTACTTCTTTTTCCTGAAATGACAGAAAACTGGACCACCCAGTTAACAGACTGCATTCACTCTAAGAGCTTCGTCTAGTGCAATGGTCTTACTTGGCACTGTCTTCACTGCAGTTTGAGTTGCTAGCATCCACTGTTGCCTTCTGGCCGAAAGCTTCCTCTGTAACGTCCAGCCAGGTCTGGTTCTTAAACTTAATTGTTATTCTTTTGGCCCAAAAGAGAATGCAGGGAATTCCATCCTTGGAGACATTAGCTGGACTATCATGGCTGAATGCGTTCCAAGGTTCTTTTTCTAAATGCGCTTGTCTGCTCAGATTGTAGTTCAGGGCCTAATGAAAAGAGAGAGAGAGAGAGAGAGAGAGAGAGCGCGCGCGCGGAGGAGAAAGAGAGCACGCACAATTTGTTTCCATGGTACAACAGGCATTTCGGAAGTCAAAGAGCTAATTCACAGTCTGCTGAAACCCTAACCTCTCTAGCTCTGAAGTTCACGCTATTGTGGGGCAAGGAGAGGAGTGAACCAGACCATAACAACGTAATAGGTATACCTGAAAGGTGCATAAGCCGAGGTCCACAAATCACCAAAAATGGAAAAGATTAAATTTAAAAAATAAAAACTTTGCAAATAACATTATCAACATAGACTTTAGAAAGTCACTGTGCTGGGGGAGAACGCGGGGATGAACAGGTCTTCGGGCCTTGCGACTGTCACTCTGGAGGGTGCTGTAATGCTGAACAGACGGCATCATACACTTGTTAAGGCCCTTAGGTTGTCCCACACAAAGAGTGAATTTTAATGTAGACTGTGGACTTTAATAATGATTTATCAGCCCTGGCTGGCGTAGCTCAGTGGATTGAGCACGGGCTGGGAACCAAAGTGTCCCAGGTTCGATTCCCAGCCAGGGTACATTCCTGGGTTGCAGGCCATAACCCCCAGCAACCGCACATTGATGTTTCTCTCTCTCTCTCTCTCTCTCTCTCTCTCTCTGCTCTCTCTCTCCCTCTCCCTTCCCTCTCTAAAAAATAATAAAATAAATAAAATCTTTAAAAAATAAAAAAATAAGAATAAAAATAAATGATTTATCAATATTGGCTTATCAGTTTTAACAAAAGAACCACACTAATGAAAACTGTTAAATATAGGAGAAATTGGAGAGGAGAGGAATTGAGGAGGAATATGGGAACCTTCTGTACTTTTTGTCAATTTTCTGTAAACCTAAAACTTTAAAAAATTCACCATGCCATATGATACTAATGGCAGTACTCTCATCAGAAAATGACATCATAAGAACCCAGATAACACAGGACTTTAAATAAAGAAGTTAATAAGCTAAAGAAAACAAGAGGTTTTTAGAAAGCAAGCACAGTTCTCCAGACCATTGCATCCAGCAGAACAACCTGCAATATTGGGTATGTTCTGTGTCTGCACCGCCCGGTGGCTGCTGTGGCCGAGACACACTGGAGATGTGGCCAGTGCAACTAAGGTGCTTAATTGTTCTATTTCACTTAGCATTATTTCATTCGAATTTAAGTTTAAATGTCACATGTGGCTAGTGGCTACCGTCACGGACAGTGCCAGCTCTAGGTCATTTAATGCTCGTGAACTAGCAAACTAGTTTCTCACATCATTCTACTTCTTATGAAACCTTTGCTGATTTCTAAGAAGCCTAAGATAATGCACTTTAGCGCCTGAATTTGGAGGTCACAAAGGCAGGTCTATATGTCAAAGAAGATCCACTTATCTAGATCAACCATTCCATACCAATTACTCCAGGGTAAGTACAAATAAAAGAGAATTAACAGGCAGCGCCAACCCAAGCTTGCCTGTAACCAAAGATGAAACGATGCTATAGTGATCCTGTCTGGAAAGCAGCAAAAGTCACACTAAATATTGCAATGAAAATATATAAGAAAAGAGAAACCTAACTATTATATTACTATAATATACTTCCCCAACATTCAAACAAGAATTTTATTTATTAATAGGATTACTTACATTTTCAAAGTGGCTCTGACCTGATTAAAATGTGTTTAAAATGTATAAGCTATAATCTAGTTTCCTAACACAGCTATACCTGTGTGATTGGTTTTGTGAAATTCTGGATTGGCTCCATATTTCCATGACTCAGTGGATCTGTCAAACAAATGGGTACAGAGGTTAAATGTTATTAGTGATTTATTCATGTAATTCAGTGACAGTAAAATGCTCAGCACTGTGAAACATACCAGGCGTGAGCCTCCTTTGCTCACCATTTAGAATACACTAGTTTAAAAGAGTTTCACACGAGAGACCCCCGGTGCCAGCACCAGTGTGCAGGGAAGGCCATCACGGACAAGACACTTCCTCACAACCTAAGGAATCAATCACAAGGCAGTCATAGGTCTTACCACTCTTTGTAACCCCTTCCTTGTTTGAGGATGGTTGAGAGCTGAAACAAGAAAAAATTGAAATTAAAAGATGCTGAACAAATACCTACATTTTGAGATTTTATATGAAGTTTTAAGTACATTTCAGTTAGAAGAGCAGAACCTTAGCTTGCCAAAACTGCCCACTCTTTATATGTTCTTCAAAGAAATAAAGCATAACAAAATATAAGAAAAAATAAGAAATTTTGTACTACATTGTACTGTTAACATATTAAAGGGAAATATTCAACCCTTTTTATTAAAAAGACTCAATTGCACAAACAAGGTATCTTTGAACATTATGAAGAGATAAATTATAATATATATCCTTCTTGTTTTCACTCTAAATATGGACCCCATATGATTTCCTTTTTATAAAATTTAAAAACAGATTGTTAAAAACATTCATTTTTGGAAAATGCAATTTTATAAATATTTATATACTTATATATAAATATATCACAAATATTTTCCATGTTATTACATATTTTTCTCACATAATGTTGAATTCTATATGGTATTATATCATACAAGTGCACCATTTTACCAAATTCCTATTAAATATTTAAGATGTTTACAATTAATAAACAACACTACATTGAACACTACTGTGGATCATTTGTTCATACCCCTGAGAAGTTCCTGTGGATACATTCCTAGGAGTACTATTGTTAAGTTATAAGATGTATGCATCTTTGTATTATGAAATATTGCAAACATACACAAATTTAAAAAGAAAAATATGGCACGCACACCCAAGTACCTGTCCCCATCCTCCAGTGCCAATAATTATCAAGTCATAACCAATCTTGTTTCACCTATGAATTCACCCACTTGCCCTCTTTGGTAGTATTTTGAAGAAAATATCAGAAATCATTTTATTTAAGTATATATTTTTAAAAGATAAGAACTTTCTAGCCCTGGCTGGCATAGCTCAGTGGATTGAGCGTGGGCTGCGAACCAAAGCATCGCAGGTTCAATTCCCAGTCAGGGCACATGCCTAGGTTGCAGGCCACAGCCCCCAGCAACCGCACATTGATGTTTCTCTCTCTCTTTCTCCCTCCCTTCCCTTTCTAAAAATAAATAAATCAAGTCTAAAAAAGTTGTTTAAAAAAATTTAAAAAGATAAGAACCTTCTAAAATAGCAGCCAATTGTATCTAGAAAGCATTAATAATTAACATTAAATATCCTGCCAGTGTTTAAATCTCCAATTGTATCACAAATGTCATAAATTTTTTTGTTTTATTGTATATTTTAAACGTTTCATAAGTTGTAACTATAGTGTATGAGAACGCAGATCAAACCATATACCTAGCAATTCCTGTGCATCACCTACATGCATTGCCAGCATATAAACTCATAATATTGTTACAATTAGAAAAACATGTATACCACATCACCTGAGCTATATGCAAAACATAATTTTAGCCAAAGAATTATTAAGTCTTTTTCACAGTAAAGTGCTTCAGAATTAATTATGTGGGACCAATTACAAAGTAAATGCACCATTCGCTTGTAACATAATCTTTATTATCTAATGAGAATTTCTGAAGATGACAAATTGGTTGGTAACCATGATGTCTATTAATTGTTGTTAATACATTCATGAATGCATAAAATTATGTTTTCACTTTACCAACTTTATTGAGGCACAGTCCAAGTACAATAAACCAGATCCATTCAATGTGTACAATTAGATGTACTTGGGCATCCACATAGACCCAGGACACCCGCCACAGTGAAGAGACATCCCACACGTTTCCCCACCCACTTCTGCCCTGGAGAGATGTTCCCTCCACCCTCAGCCCAGGCAACTACAGACTTGCTTTCTGCCACTTTACATTTAGTTTGCATTTTCCAATATTAGAGACAGAATCATATAACATTCTTTAGAGCTTGGCTTCTTTCAGTCTTAACATAATGACTGAAATTCATTAATGTTGTTAAATGTATCAACATTTCATTCTTTTTTATTACTAAGAAGTATTTCATTTTATGGGTAGGCCACATTTTGTTTGTATGTGCATCCCCTGATGGACACTTAATTTATGATGTTTCCAGTCTGGGGCTATTACAAATAAAGATGTAAGAGCTGCCAGGTACAGGGGCTTATGTGGAATATGTTTTCTAACTCAAAAGTAGAATGGCTACCATATAATAGACATTCACTTGAAAAAAATAAAACTTCCCAATCAACTTCAGTGTATGAGCTTTCATGTGGCTCCATATTCTTGTAACATTTGGTAGTCAGTCTGTTTAATTTTAGCCATTCTATATTGCTCCCTGACAAGCCAGTTACTATCCTATAATTGCTGTACAAAGGAAAAATTGTTGTACAGTAACTGGTTTGTCAGGGGCCAGTATATAGTCACATTGATGCAAGCACAGATTTGACTGAGAGTAGTAATGCAGCTACACTGGAGGGTGACGGGGATGAAGGAAAGTTGAGGGCAGTGTAGAAGACAGAAACTTTGTCCATAAACACAGAAAGTAGTTACTCACTGTCTAAAATGCATAAATGGAGAAATTGTCTACACATATTTAAATCACCTACACATACTATTTAAGCATTGTGGCAGTATGGGATGCTATGATTGTTCCCAACTCCCTGGAAACAATCGCAGAGATGTATATATCCCTGCCCTCGGTCAGACAGCTTTCAGCGCCTCCCTGCAGGTGAAGAGTATTTCCTGCTCCAGCATCAGACTAGGCTACATGTCTTGGTTGGGCCAATGGAATACGAGTGGAAGCAAGAGTGTACCAGTTCTGCAGCAACTTTAAGAGTAGTTGCCTGTGTCTGCATATGTCTGCCACCTCTTGCCCTTTTCCTTCTGCCTTAATAACAGCATACCCAAATAGGGGTGGCTCTTTCAGCCTGGGTCTTGGAGTGGGAAGACATGGGACATGGAACTGAAGCAGGGCCATGCCAGCCCACCTGTAGCTGTCAACACGCAACATGTGCACATGCAAGAAACAAATGTTTGGGTTGTTTGTTGCTAGAGAAAAGTGACTAAGCAGGGGGCCATTTTTTCTATAATTTATTATGTGTCTTGGTAGTATTTGAACTTTTAAAAACCATGTACATGCATTACTTTGATAAATTTTTCTAATTTATTCTATTTAAAAAGATGCCTTCTTTTAAAATTTTATTTGTTAGCATTCTAATTTATACAAAGTCTCTTGTGAGTAGGATTAGCATGAATCAGTCCTCTGATCCCAATCATTTCTAGGAATACTAAGCAAGTTAATTTCCTGAGCAGCAAAAGTAAGGCTCGGATCAAAGTAATCATGTAACTACAATAGAAATATACTCGAGCCAAAGATCTCTATCTACCTAAACTCCCAACTCTGTAGTGCAAGTTAAAAAGTAACTGAACATTTGAAAGAAGCACTAATGCCCAGAAAAAACATCTTAAGGAGCCCAAACTTTTCTAACATCACTATACACAATAGATTTTTTTAAATTTCTTTAATTCAAAAATCATATTTCATGATCCATGGTTAAGTATTCAAGTTTAAAACATCTTAATGAATAGCCCTGGCTGGTGTGGCTCAGTGGATTGAGCATGGGTCTGTGAACCAAAAGGTCACTGGTCTGATACCCAGTTAGGGCAAAAGCCTGGGTTGCAGGCCAGGTCCCTTGTGAGGGGCAACTGCACATGGATTTTTTTTCCTCTCTTTCTCCTTCCCTTCCCTTGTCTTTAAAAAGAAATAAATAAAATATTTAAAATATCTTAATGAGTAAAAAACAAAAGTATGAGATATATTTTACCTAAATAAGATAAAAATTTATCAAGTCATTTGGAAATATCTATTTAGCAGAAGAGTTTAATAAATGTTTATTGAATAAAAGTATATGAATGAATGAATGAATGAGCTACCATATCATTGACATGCTTGACTTGAGACTTTACTTCCCTAAATTAAAAATTTCCATGCATTTACTAATGCAAAGCTTTTAGCAGATATCGTAGGTTTATTTTCATTTCAATAAATCTATGGTCATTAACACACAATAATGCTGCTATACTTCTTTTTTAAAAAACTATGATTTAGATAGGCTTTACCCGTACCCACAAGCCTGAATTAATGAGGTTTTATGGGAAGCCATTATCTCAACTGAAGACAAAATATATACACACATTTTTTGTATCATTACATAATCTCTAAACTAAAGTAGGAACCAAAAAAATTACCTGTGGGAATAAACTGAGAAACACTAGCTTAAAAATAATTAAACCTACATCTTTGGCAAAGTATTCAGACCCCTTTCCAGTAAAAGGGATCTCTGTCACATCTGAAAAGTAATCAAGGGCTCTAGACTTGTCACGGCCAGTGCCATAGTTCTGAGGTACCCGGTGTCCCAGCATGCATCTCCGGAGCATGCCATGACGAAAGTGGAGGGAGCAGCCCTTTCACAGTTCTGCGGGGGATGAAGACCGCATTCCCACCACAGACTACAAGGCCCTGAAAGACCTCAGCCTCCTCGCTGTGCTCAACTCATTTTACTTCTGCTCTGTGCTCCAGCTACACTAGCATGCTTTAGTTCAGTTCCCCAAATGCGTCCTTCTCCCTCTTTCCACATAGAAACTTAGCACCTACAGCTCCCTCCACCTGAAATGTTCCCCATTCTCCTATCCCCCCTACCTCCTAGTTATTTCCTTCCTATCCTCCAGATCACACATTAAATATCACCTTTCCAATGTCCCTAACTCCTCAGGCTACTTCAGATCCCCCTGTTATATGCTTTCATAGCCTCCCATACTTTGCTTTCACAGCATGTTTTGCAGTTTATTTGTAATAATATCATTCATTAATGAGCACCTCCCCTACTAGATTTAAAGCTCCCTGAAGGCAGAGACTATATCTGTTTTGCTCACCATTGTAGACCCAGTGCCTAGCAAAGCTCCCAGCTATTTAAAAACACCAAGTATTAAAAAATACGTGTTTCATCTATGAATGAACTAATAAATTAATGAACAAACTCTGAAAGTAAAGTGGACATGAGAGATCACACAGGATCCTGTGTGAGGGGGAAAAGATTTCCTTTTTGTGCAAGCACAAACACAAACTGAAGAAGGAACATGCAAGGGAGAGTGAGGACCCTTACTCTTCCTAGCTTAGGAAACATATAGTACACTCACATGTTATATACAAAATACAACATCCTTCCTAGAGACTTAAGAACCTTAAATGCCACATAGAGTGGAAAAATATTTTTAATCTCAGATCCATAATTTGAAAGAACATTCACAAAACAGCAGCTGTTGCCTTCTTCATAATAAAATAATGTGCCATGTCATTAGACTCATACAATCATTGATTTATGTGATTTCTAGGGTTCTTTCTGAAGCTACGATTATTTAAAAACCCATTAACCCTGCTTCAGAAACAGAAATGGGATTTTTATAGTTCTTGGTGTCCATTTACTGGTGTAACAATATACAAATCAGTCATTTCTCTGTAAACCAGGTCAGGAAACACTGCTAAGGAATATAGGTCACTTATTATTAGAAAGTGAACCTAAGGGAAGTATACTAATTGATTTGGAAACAATGAGGGAAAACAAATTTTAAAATGTTTGTGCTTATAGTTTTTATCAGCTGGTGACTTAAGAATTCTTTAATTCTTAAAGTTTGGCAGTACAAGTTTGGCAGATCATCCTGCTGGCCTCTGTCCTTTGTGTTTATGCCAAATTCCCTGATGCACTCATTTAAGTGGCATATAGTGAGTAACTAAGAGATATAAGTTCATTGCTATTCAGGCTCTGAATATTATTCCTTATATAGAAAAATCTCTATGTGCTCCCTTAAATAGTATGAAAAGAAGCCAAAAGGACAAAGAAAACAGAAATAGAAATTTTGCTTGTTAATTTTAAATAGTGTGTACTCTACACAATTACCATCTCCTACCAGTTAAAATTATTTAACACATTTTTTTTTTAATTTCTGAGGCTTAAAATTTTTCCTTACTCTCTTCTCACATAATAATGGCAGGAAAAACTGTGGAAGTAAAATTTGCTTGTAAGTATAAAAGAAACCTGAACAGTGATTTGAATCATTTTCTCATAGATATGTGCTTGGGTACATAACACAGATATCTCTTGGGTATTTTGAACAAATAACTCTTCCCTCTTATAATAAAGATTTTGTCTTTATCTCTTATTTATAAACTCTAGTTCAATGATTTTAGTGGCTGCTGAATTATCTAATTTTATTTTGTATTGTAAACAAAGGCATCTATGCAACAATATTTTAAAATATATAGCAGCACCAATTTCACACTTGCACTTAAATTCACAGATATGTTACATTAAAAGATATGCAATTACTCACCTTACATTCTTCCTGGCAAATATTTGATCCAAAGTTAGTGAAAATCCCATAGATAAAAAAATAAGTGAAAAACTAAACAAGATTTTTCTTCCCATCAAGAAATAAATCCGTTTCTTCAAACCAAGCACATCTGTTAATTCATAAATGCAAACAGAGCAGAGATAGTACTTTTCCTACCATGTGACTGACAACATACTCAACCAATGAAAGGCAGCTTTCCCAGGATGTATTGTGTGGGGGAGGGTAAAGGGAGGAGCCTGCTACTGCTTAATTTGGAGTACAGAGTGAAACCAATGGGTCTATTTAAGTTGTCTGATTACTCATCTCAATGAAAGATTATTAGGAAGCAGATTTTTAGAAAAAGCTTCAAAAAGCTCTTTTTAGAAATTGGCATTGTTTTGATACTCTTAACTCAATAAGAATTTCATATAATTTTGTAGGAAGCAATTAAATTCCCCTAAAAAAACCCCAAGAACTATACATTATTATACACATTTTTCAGGTGAATAAAAGAATAAAAATCCTGAAACTTACCTAATTTTACTTATGTGTCCTAGTTCACACTTCCCTCCTGCACTCATCACTCCCCATCTGCTGAGAAGCATGAAATGAAATAGTGAAGAACACTGCCGTCAGAGTCAGACAGCCCCTGAGGGCAATCCCAGCTCCAGCTCTGACCAGCTATCGGATATTAGGCAAGTTACATTTCTTCCTGAGTCTAGTTTCCCCATCTGCAGAGAGGGAACAAAAGCACTTAACTCAAAGAATCATTGTGAAGATTAAATGAGGTCCTAAATAGCCAAATCTATCTTGAGAAAGAAGAGCAAAGTTGAAGGCATCCACTTTCTGATTTCAAAACACATTAAAACGCTAGAGTAATTAGAACAGTACAGTACTGGCATAAAGACAGATATACAGATAAGTAGAACAGAATAGAGAGGCTAGAAACAGGATGCCAAGAACACACAATGAGGAAAGAAAAATTTCTTCAACAAATGGTCCTGGAAAAACTGGATATTCACATGCAAAATAATGATATTGAATCCTTATCTCATACCATATACAAAAATCAAATAAAAATGCTTTAAGACTTAAAACCTAGAAGAAAGCATATGGGAAAACTTCATGACATTGATCTTGAAAATAATTTCATGGATATGACACCAAAACACAGGCAATAAAAGCAAAAATAGGTAACTGAGACTGCATCAAACAAAATAGCTTCTGCACGGCAAAGGAAACAATCAATAGAGTGAAAGACAACCTATGTAATGGGAGAAAATATTTTTGAAAGGGTTGTATCAGAAAATGTCTGATACTCCTGGCTGGCATAGCTCAGTGGATTGAGCGCAGGCTGAGAACCAAAGTGTCGCAGGTTCAATTCCCAGCCAGGGTACATGCCTGGGTTGCAGGCCATAACCCCCAGCAACCTCACATTGATGTTTCTCTCTCTCTCTCTTTCTCCCTCCCTTCCCTCTCTAAAAATAAATGAATAAAATCTTAAAAAAAGAGAAAATGTCTGATAAAGGATTAATTTCCAAAATATATAAGCAACAAATCAATAACAAAAATAATAGTAACAAAATAAATAAATAACCCAATTTAAAAAGGGGTAAAAGACTTGAATAGACACTTCTCCCAAGAAAGCATACAAATGGCCAATATGTATATGAAAAGGTGGTCCAATGGGAGAAACGCAAAGCAAAACCACAAAGGGATATCACCTCATCCCTGTTAGGATGGCTATTACTAAAAGAACAAAAGATAAGTGTTGGCAAGTATATGGAGAAATTGGAACACTTGGACACTGTTGGGGTGAATACAAAATGGTGACGTTCCTATGGAAAATATTATGGTTATTCCTCAAAAACTTAAACATAGAATTACTATGTGATCCAGTAATTGCAGTTGTAAGTAATTGTCCAAAATAATTGAAATCAAAGAGATAAGAGCTCCCCCATGTTCACTGCAACACTACTCACAACAGCCAAGATATAGAAGCAACCAAAGTGTCTGTTGATGGCTGAGTGGATAAAGAGTATTGTCATATACATAAAATGGATATTATTCAGCCTTTTAAAAAGAGGGAAATTCTGTGACAACATAGATGAAACTTGAGGACACCATGTTAAGTGAAATAAGCCAGTCACAAATACTACATGATTCCAATTATACGAGGTATCTAAAATAGACAAATGCATAGAATCAAGGAGTGGGATGGTGGTTTACAGCAGCTGGTGTTGGAGCTAATGGGAAGTTGTTAATCAACAGGCATAAAGTTTCAGTTAAGAAACATGAATAAATTCTAGAGATGTGCTGTACAAGATTGTACCTGCAGTTAACAATATTGTATTGTACACTTGAAAAATTGTTAAGAGGGAGGATCTCATGTTAGGTGTTCTTACTGCAATCAAATAAAATTTTATTAAATAAAAAATTAAATAAATATTAGACATGAATGCCTTTTCTTACTTCAATGTCTAGTTAGATAAAGAATATATAGTGTTGCCCTGACCAGTGTGGCTCAGCTGGCTAGGCATCATTCCGCAAAACAAGAGGTCACTAGTTCGAATCCAGGCCAGGGCACATGCCTGGGTTACAGGTTCATTTCCCAGTCAGGACATGTATGACCAATAAATGTTTCTCTCTCACATTAACGTCCCTCTCCCTCTTTTTCTCAATCCCTTCTCCTCTCTCTAAAAATAAATAAAATCTTTTTTTTTAAAAAGAAGATCTATTGTTATTCCTTCCTTGCCAGCCTCCAATCCTACCACCCACACCTGAAAAGCATTTTAAAAATCCCTAAGACATGTTGTACTTAAAAAAAAAAAACAAAAAAACTAAAATGCCACAATAAAGAATTCTCCAAAATGAAAGTGTCAGCATTTTTGACATGTAAGAACCTTGAAATCTTTAAAGTCCAAGTACTGGTAGCTGAAAGGTGTTATTTGTAAGTGACATCTCACAGATGAGGGATGGTGGGAAGGCTGGGGACGACCCTGAGGAGACACTCCCTTCCTCACTGCCCACGTTACATACACACACACCATCTTCTAACGTGGCTCTTGGAGCCCTAGAGAAAATGAGAGGAGGAGCTTAAAGGACAATAATGGGGGACCTGGAGGAGTGCAGAAATAAGGAAGTTACTAATAAAAGTTATAAAACAGAAAAGGTCACTGCCATAGATGTGGCCTTTCCATGCCCTATCTTATTCCTACTTCCCGTCTCACTTCCTTTTCTTCTCAGTTCTTTCATTTCAGCCAACTTCTACCCTTCACCTCTCCTGTGACCTTTCTGTCCTTTTCCTGGTTTTGTGGAATTTCAGGTAGCAAGACAGGTCTGCACTGGAGAAATTTAGTGTTAAGAAGGGTTGCCAAATAAAATACAGAACGCCCAGTTAAATTTGAATTTTAGATAAACAACAAATGACTTTAATAATAAGCATAGTCCATGCAATACTTGGAGTGTGCTATACTAAATGATTATTTGTTATTTATCTAAAAATTAAATTCAAATGGATATCTTGTATTCTTATTTGCTAAATTAGTTTTAGGGACTCTCCACTATGCAAGTTTTAATGTGCATAGAAATTACATGAGATTTTGTTTTAATGCTAATTGTCATTCAGTGGGTCTGGGGTGAGGCATGAACTTCTCTGTTTCCAACAAGCTTCCAGGTGATGCTTATGCGGCTTAGCTGAGGACTACCCTGTGAGTAGCAAGGACCTGGGACAGCACTGTTTAATAAAAATGTTAAGAGAGCTACAAATATAATTTAAAATTTTATACTTCTTTCACATTGAAAGAAGTAAAAATAAACAAGTGAAATTAGTTTTAATAATATACAGGATGTGGCAAAAGTAGGTTTACAGTTGTGACTATGCAAAACAGTTTATTCCTGTATTATTAATTTTTGTCATTTATTTTAATTTATTGTTGTTCAGCTACAGTTGTCCCACCTTTTTCTTCATTGTTTACCCCCACATTCCCCCAACAGTCAATCTCCCCATCATTGTCCGTGCCCATAAGTCCTCTATTCATGTTCCTTTGCTTGACCCTTCCCTTTCTTTCCGCTGTTACCCCTCTTCCCTCTCCCTTCTGGTCTTCCAGCTGTTCTTTATTTCCATGTCTCTGGTTCTCTTTTTCTCACTTATTTGTTTTGTTGGTTAGGTTCCACTTATAGGTGAGATCATATGGTATTTGTCTTTCACTGCCTGGCTTATTTCACTTAGCATAATGCTCTCCAGTTCCATCCATGCTGTTGCAAAGGGTGGGATTTCCTTTTTCCTGCAGTGTAATATTCCATTATATAAATGTACCACAGTTTTTGATCCACTCATTTACTGATAGGCACTAAGCCTGTTTCCAGCACGTGACTATTGTAAATAACATTGCTATGAACATTGGGGTGCATAGGTTCTTTTGAATTGGTGTTTCAGGATTCTTAGGGTATAGTCCAGCAGTGGGATCACTGAATCAAAAGGTAGTTCTATCTTTTGTTTTTGAGAAAATTCCATACTGTTTTCCACAGTGGCTTCACCAGTCTGCATTCCACCAATTCCTGTATTATTATTTATTAATTGTATCATTTTCCACGTGAAAAGCTGTAAACCTACTTTTGCCCCATCTTGTATTTTATTTAACTTAATGCCCCTAAAATATTATTTCAAACATAATTAATTTTAGAAATTATTTATGAGATACTTTACCTTCCTTTCCCACCCTAAGTCTGAAATCTGTTGTGTAATTTACACTTATACACATCTCAGTCCAGGCTAACCAAAACTTCGAGTGCTCAGTAACCACAGGTGGCTGGTGGCCACTTTACTGGTCAGAGAAAATACTGAACTTCTTGTCCAGCTACCAGAGCAGGAGCCCATGGACCCCCTGGTATCCCCAGCAGTGTTCTATCACACTGCTCCTCAGATCCCTGGTCAGGTGGGGTGAGAGCCCAAGCCCATTCTGGTCCTGCACTGTGACAATAATGGTTCTGTGAACACTCTGAAACCTTAGCCTTAGTCCCTTAGTGCTTATCATATAACAATCTGTCGTGGAAATATGCTTCGGTTATATTTTGGTACATGCACACATGTATA